ACTTTTATTAGTAACTAAATATCAGTTACTAATAAAAAAAAAAATCTTTCTATGGAACTAAAATTTAAAAATCGTCGACCTAAAATCTTGTTATCTCCATTTGTCAAAAATGAGCTTTTGATTTATTTCTCACCATAGTATAACTTTTCGAACATATTGAATCCTATTGAAATTATAATATAACAGCTGCTTAAAAAAATGAGCTGCTTAATGCAAGCCAAGCAAATATTTGTGGGCTAGTGCATTGTTAATTTACTGTGCTTTCTTAACTAAGTTTTTAGGAGCTTTTTTTTAAGTTTTTAAATACACTTTTTTAAGCAGTGCAATCGTTATGTTCATTATCTCTAGTAATTCGTATTAACTTTGGAAATTGGGGTAAAAAAAGGAAACAATTTCAGAAATACATTGAATGCCATAAATACATTTATTAAAGAAACTATTTTATTATTTTATTTAACTTATTCCATCATTAACAAAATTTATTAATCAAATAATATTTTTTACAAATAAATAACGATTTATTTTCTTATTTTTCTATTAAATAAGTATTGAGAAAAAATGTCAAATATAGCAAAAATGTTTTTAAAAGCAAAAAGACGATTTCAAATCTTTGTATGACATGCAAATAATATTTTGTTTTGACGATTTAAGCACAGTTTTTTAGAAATGTGATAAAAAAATTGGTTTTAATTCAAGTTGGAAATTAATATATTATACACTTTTATCTTTACTTACATTTTTACTTTTATCTTTACTTACATTAGCAAAATGCTTTTAAATAAAGTAACTACACGCTTTCCCAGGAAAGGCGTGCGGTCGCACGCCTTGTTTGTCCACGCATAGAATAAATTTTTCTGACTAACTAACCACGTTTTATTATTATGCGTTTCAAAAATTCATGCCATAACAAAGCTAAACAAAAATACCGCAAAAATGCAAGCAATCTTAAAATAAATAACTGAAATCTGTTTGTGCTTTAAAATTAAAAAATTAATGTATATTATTAAAAAAAAAAATTACCTTTATTTTATTTATTTATTTTTTTAGGTTGGTAGTTATATTAGCTATGAAAAATCAAATCAAAAAGAAAAAGATTAATGTTTAAAGAAAATAAAAGGACCTTTTAATGTAAAATTTGTTTATGAGTTTTATCATTTAGTAATACTTTAAAATTCATGATAGAACTATAAACAATTTTTAAATGTTTCGTAAATACATTTAAATGTTTAAATGTATTGATTTAAATGTTTGAATGTATTGATACGCAAGAAAACATGAAAACGATTGCTATTTATTAGTAAAATATGTTGTTTTTTTTTAAATGAAAGAAAATTTTATTGTCAAACGATTGAGTTGCTTATTTTGCAATCATTAAATGACATTGTGAACGAGTGTTAATATATAATAATGTCCCGAAGGAACTGTTTTCGTAACAATGACAACAGAAGCAATGCAATTATTTTTTTAACTTCTTTCGTAATTACAAAATTATGCAATTGAATAATTTCAACGTAATAAAAGGCGAGCATTGACTCAGTATAATCATTATAGAATTTTGTTATTTTTAAAGTCTCAAATAATATATTTAATTATTAAAACAGCAATTTATTTTCGTGTCAAAGTATTGGGGAATAAAGTCAACGCTTTTGCATAAACCTTCGTAAAAAATAAATTAAATGAAAAAGTTTAACCAAATTTGTCTAGCGTAAATAATGAATCAGTTTTTTAATACATTGTCTGATAAAGTTCGTGAATAAATAACGTATCAAGTCTTTTTATTTTTGTGAAAACTTAATGACTTATTGTCGTCTTTTCCTTGACTTGTATCAAATTTTGTAGCTGAAAATAGCAACCCTTAAAAAAGCAAACAAAAACAGTATAAAAATTTAGAAAAAAATGTTCAAGACTTTTTTTTTTTTTTGTTACAAGAATTTTTTTTTTTTAATTTTTTTTTTTATTTTCAAAATATTTTTCTTACATCCAATTTCAATTTTATACTTTGTTTAGACTTCGTTTTCTTTTTTTTATTATTATTTTTTATTCTCTGTGGATAATTTCCGCTTTCACACAAAGTATTGCCGCGGTCACGTTTTCTGAAAAATTTATTCTATGCATGGACAAACAAGGCGTGCGACCGCACGCCTTTCCTGGGCAAGCCTGTAACTATTGATTTTAATTAAAGTATCATAAAAGTTGTATAATTTTTTATTTATATTATTTAATTATATAAGATTTTTTTATAAGTAAATTTAAAAAAATAAAATTATTAAAAAAAATTAAATTTTATAAGCAGCAACTTTAAACAGCGGTCTCATAAAAACTTTATTTAAGAATAATTAAAGTTAATTAACTCTAAAAGTAGAAAAATTTTATTGAGAAGAAAAAGACAAACTTTTTAAAAGCTGTTTGAATTAAATAACTTTGATCTATCCATAAGTTTTTATATTATTGCAACGCATTTAATAATATAAGCAATAATAAAATATTAATGAGTAATAAT